CAAGGTTTAAGAAATTTTCTGCCATTAGTTCTTTTAATAAGCTTCTTAAGCCTCTCTCTTTCCTTGTGAAACTCCCATAGTTCACATATTCATACTACTGATGGTGTCCTAAATTCCCTTATGTTTTTTTCAGTATTGTTCACTTTTTTTTTTCTTTTGGCTAATGGGATTATCTCCAGTTTCAATCAAGTGGTGTTGGAGCTGAGTCATATGGCTACAACTAAGTTTAAAGTAGGTTTCACAATTGGCAGCCCATTTACTAGCCACTTTAGTCAGCATCATGGTGGACTGGATTCCTTTTTTGACCTTGTCTATGCTGGGATAAGAGTCCACCTGTGTTTTCCCAGTTGGAACTGTAGACAGAAGTCTTTCAGGTACATAAATAAGTGTAGCTTCCATTGGTTCCCAGGGAGAGATCTTAGTGTCACTGGATGTGGTGTTAAAGAAATAGGCCTGGACTAGGAATGAGATTTACTTGAAAGTCACAGGGTTGCTTCATGTTACACAGCTAAGACCAAGATCTGATGGCCTGTTCTGGTGACACAGATGTGTATGTCTCCTGGTAGATTCCTAGATGTATGGATCCACTCACAGAATACACTCATAGACTTTAGCTAAGAGGAGATTTACCTTACTTACAGGGATGCTTCATGGTCCATAGCTAGGCCTGAGGTCAGGGTACCAGTCACTCAAGATACACGTGGGCATGACTCACCTCAAGTCTCTTGGTGGAGAGTTCTGGTGGCACAATGAGACTTGCAGCTGAGTCCACAAGGAGACAAAGCCATTTTCAGGTCTGCAGGTGAGACCCAACCACAAATTTCCCACCTATGTGTGACCTGCCCTCACAAACAACCTTCCTTGGTCTTGGGCTCTACTGCAAATAAATAGACTCCTCCATAGTGCCACCAGAACACAATGGCACATTTGTCCAAGGATGGTTATAAATTAATGTTCCTATGGAGGTATTTGAGCAGGGGACTTCTTATTCTGCCATTTTACTGAATACAAATTAAAGCAAAAATTATAGTTTACTAGTCACTGAACTCTGAAAGCAGACTAATTTGCTAAAAAATCAATTCACTGAAATTCAATCTATCAGTAATTCACCATATCAGTAGATTAAAGACATGATTATCTCAATAGATGAAGAAAAAGAATTTGACAAAATACAGCATCCCTTCATGTTCAAAACACTAGAAAAACTAGGGATAATACTAACATATCTCAACATTGTAAAAGCTATGTATACTAAGCCCAAGGTCAACATCATTCTAAATGGAGAAAAATTGAAAGAATTCCTTCTAAAAACTGGAACAAAACAGGGATGCCTTCTTTCACCATTTCTATTCAGCATACTCATTGAAACTCCAGCTAGAGCAAATAGGCAAAAGAAAGAAATTAAATGGATATAGGGGCAAGGGTTGTAGCTCAGTGTTAGAGTGCTTGCTTAGAACTTGTGAAGCACAGCATTCAATCCTCGCAACCACATTAAATAAATAAATAAATAAAAGATATTGTGTCCATCTACAACTTAAATAAATAAATGGACACAAATAGGAAAAGAGCTCAAAGTGTCCCTATTTGCTAATGACATGATCCTATGTTTAGAAGGCCCAAAAAACATCGAACATAAAACTTTCTAGAACTCATAAATAAATTCAGCAAAGTAACAGGATATAAAATAAGCATAAATCAATAGTGTTCCTACACACCAATGATGAATCAGGTGAAATAGAAATTAGGAAAATGATCAGACTCATAATAACCTCAAAAATTTAAAAACCTGGGGCTGGAGCTGGAGCTGTAGCTCAGTGGTACAGCACTTGCCTAGCATGTGTGAGGAACTGGGTTTTATTCTCAGCACCACATATAAATATATAAAATAAAGCTCCATAAATAACTAATAAAAGTATTTTTAAAAAAGAAGACTGCATCTTCTTAAAAAAAATAAATGAAATGCCTGGGAATCAATCTAACAAGAGAAGAAAGACCTCCACAATGAAAACTACAGAACACTAAAGAAAGAAATCGAAGAAGAAATTTCAATGATGTTTTTGTAGAAAAATCAGTCATGAAATTCATTTTGAAAAATAAGAGGGAAGAGTAGCCAAAGCAATCCTTAGTGAGAAAAATTAAGCAGGAGGCATCACAATACCAGACCTTAAATTATTTAGGAAGACATAAATATGATAAATGACCATATGATTAATATTACAGCTTCTAAACCTATGACAAAATAATTTCCTTTTAGTTTTAGATGACAGAAGTCTGAAGTTTCATTGAGCTAAAAATAAAGTCCAGCTTCAATGAGAAAGACTGATTCTTCACTTCCTAATTTCCTCTCCTAAGAACCATTGTGATTATGTTAGGTTCACCTCAATGATCTGAAGGATACTCCCCGGCTCGGGCAAATTAGGCAAAATTCATAGGTTTTGAGTATTAGAAATATATATATATATATATATATATATATATATGGGAAGGATAATTATTTAATACTACAACTTTATATCTATTAAGATTTTGAATTAAGTTTGAAAACCTTCCAACAAGAAAATTATAAGGAAGATTTTTCCTGATGAACATGTCACAAATTCAGAAGGGAGGGGGCAAAACCAACACCAATCTTACACAAATATTTCTACCAAATGAAAGAAAGGGAAGTCACTGATGATCAAATTGCATGGGGCTGAAATAATTCCATCAAAATATGATAAAGACATTTAAAAAACACTATAGACCAATATATCTAATTAGTAAAAGAACATTTCAAATTACATAAGAGGGGGCTTGTAATTTAGCTCAGTGGTAGAGCACTTGCTTAGCATTCATAAATCCCTGGGCTTGATCCCAAACACCAAAAGAAGAAAAAAGGGTAAGAAAATCAAGTTCAAAAATATTTATTCGTGAATTGTTGTCCTTTAATATATTAAATATTAATATAGATTAGCCCATGAAAAGTAATGTTGGTTTAACATTCAAAAAGCAATTATTACATGTTGCTTTTGTATCCTGATTTGTACTGTGTTTATCAGCTCTAGGAGTCTTCTGGTGAGGTTTTTTTTGTTTTTTGTTTTTTGTTTTGGCTCTTCTAAGTATAGGATCACATCATCTGCAAACTGATAATTTGGCATCATCCTTTCCTATTGTATCACTTTAAATTCCTTCTCTTGCCAAATTGCTCTGGCTAAAATTTCTACTATAGTGAATAGAAGAAGTAAGAGTGGATATCCTTATCTTGTTCCTGATTTTAAAGGAATTTCTCTTAGTTTTTTTCTCTGTTTGGTATAATGTTGGCTTTGGGTTTGTCATATTCATTTATATATATATATAATTTCCTTTAGAATGTTGAAGTAACTTCCATCTACCCGTAGTTGCTCCAGTGTTTTTAACATGAATGGGTGGCTAGATTTTGTCCAAAGGCTTTTCTACGTCTAATAAAATGATAATATTTTTGTCCTTCTATTTTTGTAAGGAATTATGTCATAGATTTGCATATGTTAAACATTCCTTGCATCCCTAGAATGGAACCAATTTAATCATTATGTAGACTCTTCTTCATGTGGGTTTGAATATGAATTCCAATTATTTTATTATGGATTTTTATATCTGTGTTCATCAGGAATATTGGTCTGTGGTGTTTCTTTGCTTGATATGTCCCTTATCTGGTTTTAGTATGAATGTGATTCTGGCTTCATAGAATGAATTTGGAAGTATCCCTTCCCTTTCTATTTCATCAAATAATTTGAGGTATATTGGCATTAATTTTTTAAAGGTCTGGTAAAATTCAGCTGGGAACCCATCTAATTCTGGGGCTTTTCTTTGTTGGAAGTTTGTTTGTTTGTTTAATGCTGTTTCCATGCCATTGCTTGATATTGATCAGTTTAGGTTCTGTACATACCCTTGGTTCATTTTTGGTAGGGTGTATGTGTCTATGGGTTCTTATTTTAGTTATTCATATTTTTCTTCTTTTTAGCTTAGCTAAAGTTTTCTTAATGGTTGATCTATTCAAAGATAACCCACAATGAAATGACACATGAAATAAATGAGAGAAAAATGGAAAATTTACAAGAATGTGGAAGTTAAACAACATATTCTGAAACAACCAATTGATCAAAAGTTATCACAAGGAAAATTAGAAAATGCTTAAAAACAAGAAAATGAAAGTACATGTAGCAAAACTTATGAGATACAGCCAAAAGAGTGCTTAGAGGGAAATTGAGAGTTAAATTGTCCATATCAATGACCTAAAGCACTATAAGTGCCTAGAAGAAAAAACAGTAATATAAACACAAAACTAGAAAAAGAGGAAATAACAAATAGGATGTAGAAAATAATAGGAAGAATCAATGAAAACAGAAGTGTGTTCTTTGAAATAAATCAATAGGTAATTTCTAATTTTTTCACTCAAAAATCATCTGAACTCATCAGCTCAGGATGCAGGTCTACCCATCAAAAATACAAAATTAATCATTTATATTAAACATATTCACCTTTCACTTTTTAAGAACCTAAAGTCTTTTATGATATGTAATTATACTCCAAAGAAATACATAGGATGGGAGGCTAGTTTAGCCCTAGGACTAGAAACTTTTAGAAGAGATGTGACAAATAATTTATTTTTTCATGCTTTTCTTAATAGTTTGGTAATTGCTTCTTGAAGAGATGAGTTAAGGCCCTATCCAATTTGAAACATAAGTGGTGCCATAATTGATTAGCATAGCCTGCCTTGAGTAAGGACTTGGTATATGTGCTAACCTTGTTTTATAAATGGACAATTAAAATGCACAATAAAGTCTAGAGTATTGAAGTTCAATACCACAGTTCAAAAGTAAATACTAGTAAAATTCAGGTCATTTACTTTTGCTTTCGGTTATCCATTATTTTTTCCTACTTCCACAATTACCCTCTTTCTTCTTGCTCTTATTGCACTTTCCCAGGCAGAAACAAAATTTTATGCTATTCTCCTGTCAATTCTTGCAGGCAGGTAACACATATTAGTTTCTTTCCTTTATTATTTAAATATTCATTAAGTATTCTTCATGTTGTCAATACTGGACTAAACACTGCAACATAAATAGCAGTTGCAATATCAAATATGATATCAATCTTTTATCTTAAAAAATGTGGAGACCAGATTTTGTCCCTCCCAATTTTTCTCTGTTTGCTTCTTTTAGATAAAAACTCTTGGAAATTGTTGGCGATGCTTGTTTCCATTTCTCTCCATTATATTTGTCAGTATTTCTCTTCTCTCATTGTCTTTGGACTAATCCTAATCAGAGAAAATTCCACTGCACATTTCCAACATTAAGGGGCTCTTCTCCTAATTCATTTTGCAAACACAATTACAAACCCTCCTTCTCCAAAGATTTCCCTCATTTGATTTCTATCTCATATTGATATCACAGTCTCCTGTATGTAATTAAAATCCTTTCTCTAGGTGGTTGTATTTAGTTTTATGTTTGCTTTGTTTTATTAAGTTTTTATATTATTTGGTATATGTAACTTAAATACAATAATGTCCATGGATTTTTAGCATAGTTTTATGAACTCTGACAAATATATAAACATTCCAAACCCCTATTCCAGGCAAAATACAGAATATTCCCATCACCACCAAAGTTTTGTTATGCCTCTTCAGTCTATTCTATTTTTATCCACCCTCTAAAATCTTATGTAGTCTAATGTAAATTACCTTTGAACATTCTAAAAATTCATATATAGAAATAATACACCTTCACTTTTCTGTGGTTTTCTTGTCTTAATAAATCATTTCTGATATTTTTCCATGACTTGTATGCCTCAGTGATTTATTCCTTCTTTTTGCTAGATAGAACTGTATTGTAAAAACCATACATTCCCATGTTAATGGCTATTTTAATCATTCAAATTATTAAGTTTTGTGAATACAATTGGTATGAACACTTATGTTCAAGTCATATATATATATATACATATATATATATATATATACTAGGTTTCATATTTCTTGTGTATGATGGGAATTGCTTACCCTATGGTAATCATGCTTAAGATTTATGTAAAATTTCCTATATTTCCAAAACTGCTGAACCATTTCACATTACCACAGCAAAGCATAAAAGTTTCGATTGCTCTACCTTTTCTCTAGTATTCTGTATTGCTGGATTTGTTTATAATCATAGACATTCTACTGGATGTGTAGGAGTATTTCACTACAGTTACCATTTCTATTTTGCTAATGACTAATATTTTTGTACCCAGACATTTATAAGCTGAGGCTGAGAACTCATCAGTGGCTAATCTGGCTCTCTTACCTGCTCCCGCTCTGAGCTCTTCAGTCTTCAGTCCAGGTTGAAATCTTGGATTTTATAACCCATCTTATGCTCCCTTATTTATGATGGACATACAGAAGTATACTTTTGGAACAATTGGACTGTGAGTCAATGAAAGGGATATAGCAGTAAGTGGAGGAAGAAATGGAGTTTCTATAAATGGTAGAACCTAAATATGTTTATAAGCTGAGAAGAATAGGATGCCAGGATAAGGAGAGAGAGACTAAATATGCAGGAAAGAAAATAATTCATGAAGTTACTTTCTACTATAAATACTGTAATACAATGGCTCTGGGAATGACTACAGAGCTCTTGTTACAGCAGTTCCAATATAAAACCAGCTGCAAGGCCCATTAACATGGCATTTTAATGAAATAAGCATATAAGAAGGAATATATAAAGCAAAACTATTTAAAGATGGTTTGTTTGGAGTGATGCCAGATTAACTTAATAGTAATTTTAAATGGTAGAAAAAGTAAAAGATTTTAAGGATTTTTAGAACTACTATTATAGTTACCATAATATATTGCTTTGCCAAAAATATTCTGAAAAAAAGAGCAATTTAAGAAGCTATTTTGGAAAGTAATTGCACAGATTTTCCATTAAAACAGTTTCATTTTCTCTTTTTCATTAAATCTCAAGTAAATCCATAGCCATACATAGAATATTGTTTATCATATGACACATCTCACAGTGTAATAAAACCTTAGATGAGACTTTGGCACACAAAGAGAATTTAATTCCATTATTAAGAATTCTTACACTTCTTTCTTTAAAGTAAGATCTCAAATCATATTCATTTTGTGAATAATATCTCACTGACAGCTGCAAAGCTGCCCATTCACTGTACAAACAGATGAGATATTTTGCTTCAGCATTTCAAATCAGTCAAATAGGTGGTTAACCTTTTAACTCTCTTTTTCTTTTTTAAATGGAGCAAATCTAATAGCCATTCATGTCATACAGAATGTCAGGAGCTTCTCATAGGAACTTACCTTATCTTTTGCTCCCTCCTCCTCATTTTTAACCAGTCAGCAGTTCAAAGTTATGGTCTCTTGGAAGCTTACAGTTCTGTCACATTCAAGGATTAAATCTTCAGGGAATGATAAAAGAATAAAAAGTAGCTTTAGATTCCCTCTCAGGAAAAATGAAGACTTACACTAATACAGTATTTTGCATACAATTTCATGAAGATAAAAATTCATCATGGAACTGCTAGGAGGTCACGTACAAATTCTTATTGTATAATACTCACCTGACTTTGTTCACCTGATTATGATGGAAATCCAGAATGAGAAAATACAGGGAAATAAAGGAAGCAATTATCAAAGACACAATAAATTATTTAATAAAATAGAAGTATATGAATTTCAAGAGTGAAAGGGGCTGGCAAATGCCTAGCAAAAATAAAAATGACTAATTCTATCTGAATCTATGGGACATTAAAAAAAGTTTAGGATACTAAAGATAAAGAGAAAAATCTTAAAAGCATACTGTAGCAGTCAGGATGTTTCAGGCTGAAACAGAAAGAAAATCCTCACTCAGACCACCTGAATAATAATTACATTAATTGTCTTAATAAAAGAGACTTTAGAAGTGGGGGTAGGTTCTAGAAATAGTGTGATCAGTAACTCAGTTGAGGTGATTAAAGACCCAACTTCTATCTTCCCCGTCCTTTTCCCTGTGAATCTCCTTAAGTCTGGTTAAAATCTGCATCTGGTTAAAGTCTGCATTTAAAATCAACACCAGTTATATCAGCCATCAAATGAACACAATTAACATTACATATACACTGGGTGTCTTATCTCTGTAATTAGAATTTCTGCTGTGCAAGCAAAGGATAAGGACAGGTCCCCTGTCTCACATATGTATGTACTGCATCCTCACTGCTCTCTGAGGTATTGGCCCTACTCCTCCCTACTTCTATAAGCCCTCATTTCTCCTTCCATAGCAGACAGTTCAGCAATGTTCACCACCTATTGCCTCGGTTCCAGCTCTCCAGCATTCAGAAGCAGACATGAATATTCAGAAATGAAAAACTATAAAACAAAACAAAAACCTTAAATTATGCTGCATGCAGTGACACACACCTGTAATCTCAGTGGCTCAGGCGGTTGAGGCAGGATCACAAGTTCAAAGTCAGCCTCAGCAATTTAGCAAGGCTCTAAGCAACTTAGTGATATCCTGTCTCTAAATAAAAATATAAATGGCTGGAGATGTGGCTCAGTGTTAAGTGCTCCTGGGTTTGATCCCTGACACACACAAAGACACTTACATTATATTTACACATGATAATATAAAAATATAAACACCTAATTAATGTCTTAATCACTGTTATTGGCATGTTTCATTTAATAGAAGAATTTAATGTTAATAAAATAGTATAGTTTGTCACAGTATAAAATAACAATTTTTATACTATTCTTTAAAGGTGAAATACTACCTCCAAGGATATAATCATATTTATATGAAATTACCTCCTCTTTTCAGATACAATAAATAACATAAAATTACAGTAAAAATTGGTAAATACATTTAAAATACATTTTCTCAAAATAAGCCAAAGAGAGAGTATACATGAAACAAGATTGGCCATGAAGCTGCAATGATATTTCGTGGATTTAATTAACCTATTTTGACTAATTTTATGTATTTACTAATTTGCATAATAAAGAGCTTAAAATAAAACATATTGGTCATGAAGGATGCAAAGGTAAGAAAACAGTTATGAAGAAATCAGAACATGTATTAAGAGAAATTCAAGAAATTGAAGAAAGGAGTATTGTTTTATTCAGCTTTCCTTTCCTTCTCTTCCAAATGAGCTGCCTGTAGAGAGCGTCAGTGCACCATCCCCCTTCAGCTGTGCTCTGCTATGGAGGAGGCCTTCCTTATCCTATTTGGCTGTGGCTGGTGGGGAAAGCTTCCTGGAATTCAGTCAGAGATCCATTTTGCTTTTGCATTAAACTATGTCTTCTATTTTTGTAAGTAATAATAATGACATTCTGGTTTCTAATCTGCTATTCTTTATTTCTAAATTTCTTCAGCTTCCAGGTAGGAAACAAGGAAAAGGCTATTTATTGTACCCATTCAGAGGCCCCAATAGTATCTGTGTATTATTTATCATCATTCCATTAAATTTATTCACTGAAGGATCAGGTATTACAATACAACCATATTTCCTCTTATACAACATTCTATTTTTCCTAAAGGCAATAATTCCTGTCTTCATTTATTTCTTAGTCATCTGTTTGCTTTTTATTAGTCTTCATGCAATTTAAAAATCTCTGGATTTCTCTTTCACAAGATAAATTTAATCAACAAAAGTTGTATCCTTTTTATTTTCCTAGAGTCCTCTTTGCTGAAGCCCTAGAGCATTTTGTTCCAATTTGAACTTGTTATTCTGTAGGCCTATTGCACTGTTGTTATCCCAGAACTTTCTTTGGTGCCTGTCTAATGTGGATTCACTATTTCTTAAATTCTGTTTCTCTTTTGTTCATGGTATAATATTTACTTTGGTGGAACACATTTTCAAATTAATTCATGAAAATTTTACCTAGGAAGTAAATTTTTGAAATTTCAAATGTTGAAATTTTATTTATTGTTATGTCATGTTTTATCAATCAGCATAGAATGAAGATAGAATTTTATGTGAGAAATTGTTTACCTTAACTGCTTTGAAACTATTATTCCTGCCTGTTTTATCTTCCAATTTTGCTGCTGAGAAATATAATATCATTCGGATTCCTAATTGTTTTGGTTTAACCTGTTTTTTATTCACTGCAAATTTGTTCAGGTATTTACTCCATACCCAGTTTCATAAGAATATCTTAATTAGTGTAAACTAAGTAGCAGATGGTATTCTGCCTGCCAATAATTGCCCAGAAACAGGCATGTAACATTAATTAACCCATCAGAAAGAAGGGAAGGAAGGACTTATAATACATATCAGTAAAGGAAAGGATTTCCACTCTCCTTCTAAATTTGAACTATAAATTCTATAGCCCACATTGTCACTGTCAGCTACCTTGTGAACATTAGTAAACTAATAACAGTGACTAACATTAATTAGGTGTTTATATTTTTCATATAATTATGTGTAAATATACAATTCAAATTTGTTTTATAGGTTTTCATTTTTGGATACTCATGTCTGCTTCTGAATGATGAAAAGCTAAAACTAGGGCACTAGGTGGTGAACATTCATTAACTGTCTGCTATGGAAGGAAAAATGAGGGTTTCTAGAAGTAGGGAAGAGTAGGGCCATACCTCAGAGAGAGAGAGGGGATGATGCAGTACATGTAGATGTAGAGACAGGGGACCAGAAATTCTTACTACAGAGATAAGACACACAGTGTGTGTGTGTGTGTGTGTGTGTGTGTGTGTGTGTTGTGTTCTTTTGATGACTGATAGAGCTGATATTGATTTTAAATGCAGCAAAATTTCATTTATTTTGTTCTGTTTTCTGCATTTACAAAATTAAAAACCTGAAGTTTCAACAAGGAAAAGTCAATTTGCAGTAGTCAATAGACAATGCTTGATTATTAATAGACATCAGGAGTGACACTTCAAAGAAATCAATACTGTTCAGGCTTGCTATTTGTGGCAACTTCTGCATACTCTGAAGAATCCCCTCCTCTATTCCTATCCTTCCACTATAGTGGGGATGGGGAGCATACATAAAGTAGATGTAAGCTCTGGTCAGATTTGGTGATAACTAGACACATTATCCTGACAGGAAAAAAAAGGAAGAAAAAGAACTTCATGGAACATTTACTAAAAACAACAAAAATTATAAATACTTCATATGCTTTACTTTTGAAATGCTTATAAAAGAAGCACCTTGAAAGAAATTTTTTATACATAAATTATATATACATACATACATATGTGTATATATACATATGATCTTCTAATCCCTACAGTATAATTGTTTTCACCTTAAGGTACTAAAATTGTCCCAAATTGAGCTTGTGTGTTCCATTGCAGAGGCCATTCAATTGAATTAAAAAAAAAAAAAAAAAAAAAAACATTTGGCATTATTTGCCTTTTGTACTTATAGAATACTTATTGTGTACAATGTTGGCCATTACTCAAAGGTTATTTTGTTTTGTTTTTAATATTTATTTTTTAGTTGTAGATGGACACAATACCTTTATTTATTTATTTATTTTTATGTGGTACTGAGGATCAAACCCAGGGCCTCACATGTGCTAGGCAAGCGCTCTGTCACTGACCTATAGCCCCAGCCCAACTCAGTGTTTTAATATCCTTGTTTGTTAAATAATTCAACATATAATTACAAATCTGCTATATGCCTTGAATAAATAATTACAAATCTGCTATATGTCAGCCACAGTTCTGGGCACAGTGTATACAGAGGTAAACAAAAATGAGTTCCTGTCTTCAGGGAACTTACATTCAATTAGCGAAACCCAATATGAAAAATAATGTTTCATAAAGTTTACAAATATTTTGAGAGAGATACAATTTTATGAATTAAAAATATCTGAAGAACAAAAAGGTGAAATGTTTCACCCAGGGCAAAATCCCAAGTAGGTAGAACTCAGTTCCTGTATTGGTAATAACTGTACTGTCTTGTAATTTTACATCATCCTTCTTTGGTCATTTGGCTAATAGAGGGTTGGGTGAATCATTATTTGTCATCAAGGAGCTTGCAATGAAATAAAAAATTACACAAACAACTCGACTTTAGGTAAAATAGTCAGCATTGCACAACATATAGAGATAGTGACTTCTAAGGATTTTAGGGAGGAAAATAGACTTTACCTGCTTATGGTCTAAGGAACAACTTCATGGAGAAGCTGGTGTTTGAGATACGATTAGAAGCAGAAAGAATTATACAGGCAGGATCAGGGAAACATTCAAGTTTTCCATGACGCTTTTTATACTACCCTAAGAAAACACTAACATCTGAATGCTAAGAAATCATCATCTCACTTTTGAAAAAAATATTTCTAGAAAATGATTTGACAAAATAATTTTGCAATATCCTCTTGGATTCTAGAAAGAGCTCCTAGTCAATTTTTACTACCAAAGTAATTGCTGTTATCTTTTTTATACTACCATATCTTT